ACAAAGACTTATTTAGTGCACAGGAATATTTTCAGGCTAAAAATGACACAGTTCGGAAAATCCTTCCTCAGTTTCACACTTAGAAAAAAGAAAATCACTGCCGGAAAAAAAGGAGCCTTTTGTTTTTGAACAGAGCTTGTCGGGTGAGAGACATCGTATTTATTCAGGTTGGAGCCAAGTTGTTCAGACTGTAAAGAATTCAGACTGAACAGACCAAACACTGCACCCACCTGGAGCCACAGAAACAATCATCCATTTTTTATATTATATATATTAAAACGTACATTTTAAAATTAGTCAACTTTTGTGTTTTGAAACGTGGATTATTTACCCGGTAATATTTGTAAATTAATGCAAAATACATTTACATGCTTTTCCTGCACGTCCTGTCCGCTTGTCTCAGCTGGACTCGGGTCCCTAAGGAGCAGTTATCTGATGAAGATAATGAGTGACATTATCATTCCAGCGTCCTAAAACACATTGAGATTTGGGCCCTGCGCCGCCCTGCGCCGCGCTCTCGTCTGGGCGAGTCTCCGACCACCGGCAGTGTCCTCCAAGAAGAGCCGACCCAAACCCGCTACGAGAGAAGAACCAGAGCTAGAACAGCCGGACCAGATCAGCCCGAGCTCACGGTGACACAACGGGCCGGCGCATGTAACACTGTCACACCAGGATGCTAGCTAGTTAGCTACGTGCTAACGCCCTGCGTGGGCTTGACTGACACACAACCAGGACGTGGATGAAAACAGGGGCATTTTATCCCGAATAATTCATTGTGTGAAGTTCTGTGGGACATTTGAGTTGGTCTTTCCTCAACACACTAAGTTCATAGGGGCATCTCAATATATATACACGTTCTAATATATTTACTATATGATATTTATATTGCTGGTCATAGGAAAGTATTTTTATGATGACTTTTTTTGCATTGCTGTATTCACACAGGGATGTTTACTGGCGGATTGGCTGTCTCTAGCAGAAAGAAGTCCACCACTGCTCCTTGCTGTCCTTCATGTGAGCGTTTAACATCGTTTAACGCGTCCTGCTAAATCAGCCCAGAAGACTGTTGATGTATATATTGGATGCATATGATACATTCATACACATTTTGTCTTTCATATACGGTTAATGGGGAGATGGGTGGATGGGTGGGTGGGTGACGATGTAAACGAACACCTCCATTGGTGTTAAAAGGCTGCTCTCTAATGTCTTTATTATTCAGCTCTGCTTATTAATGAAAAGGTTTTACTGTTGGGAGCTTTTAGCTTTAATGTGATTCTTGATTAAATTTGCTCCTCTTGCTGCCGTCGGTCTTTTTTGCAGCGTTTGGAGTTTCTTTGTTTCCGTCTGAAGGGCTTGCAGAGGGCTGAAGACCGTTAATCAAGCAGAGGTAGAAATAACATAAATACAATACATTTTAAAATGTATTTTATCTCCGTCATTTTGGGTCATTATTTCTTAGTGGCAGAAACCCTGTTTAATTAGTTTTAGGGCTAAAAAATGTAGTTTGTACAATTCAAATTTTGTGATCCGATCCAATCCTGTCCTTTCATGTTTTGCTCTCAAGCAAAGCAGCTATTACTCCTTCACGTTATACCCAATAACACATATTTAAGAAACATTGCTGTTATTTTATTATTATTATTATTATTAAGGACACTTCCTTTACTTTGTGAAGTCATCCTTCACTTCCTGCAGCGTGAAGCTCAATGTGACTGATTCATTCTGCTGTGGCGACGATCGGAGGAGGACGGTTACGCGCTGCTGAACTCGTCCAGTCTTCAGTCTCATTATCAATAACCTTTAGCTGTGCACGATCATCGAACTCTTCATCAGCCGATCGATAACTGATCACTATTGGACGGGCAGCGTTCCTGCAGTTTGGGACCTATTGATCGTCGAGGAGGCCTCATTTGTTCTAGTCGAAGCAGAGACGTGGTCGTCACCACGGAGGCTCGGAGGGAAACAAATCCCGCTCCTGATGACGGCCAGTCTTCATACCAACACAGAGCTCATTTCTCCAGCCCGGATCAAATGACCACACCGCTCGGAGAAGCATGAAGGCACCCCGGGACAAAAGCAGCGGATAAACAGCCAGAGGGTTTGGATCGTTGCTTTGCTGAGCAGGAAAAAAAAAGGAAAAGCTCATGAACAAAGAATTTATTAGAGCTGCTAGTTCTTTAAAGGTGGAGCGAGACCTCGGCGCACCTGAGGCCCCCGTGGAACCACAACTGAATCAACGATTACAATAATGTGCGCCAAGTACACAAGCAGCGACCGGAGGATTCTCTGTCCTTCCAGAGTTCCCCCTTTGGTCCAATATCTCCACAGATATTTGCCTCTTTGCCTTCGATCTTAAATGGCTGTGAGTTTTGCACATTTACACCATATTTAGGGAAACTCTCCAGACACGACCGTGTTTTACTTCATTTTTGCACAGTGAGAGGAAGTGGAGTTCTCCATCTTCTGATACGATTTGTCCTGCAGACGGTTGCAGGTCTTACTGTCTCCTCCAAGCAACAACTGATCCAACAGTTTGCTCCACAGTGAAGCCTCTCGACCACTATTGCTCAGATCAACCTGGAAGTTGTGGAGCACATTGATTATCCCAACAATCAGGCGTTGATGATTTAATTCAGACTTCACCAGTGCTGGTCCAGCATTCCCCATCGTGCTACGAGCTGCATTTGACACCACAAGGTCAAAGAAGGGTGCAGAAAGGTTGTGCGTATCCGGCGGTGAGTGACAGTTTTAGAACACAAAGACGATGCTGGAGGAACTCTCAGCTCGTCCAGGTTCAGCGTAGCGGGTTTAATGATGAATCATGCAGGTTAAAGCTCGTTGTGAATAATCTAATAATAATATAAATAATGATGAGCAAAAACAAAAAGGATAATGTATTCATCCTCCTCAAACACCATCCATCTTCATTTGTGGAAGAGGTCTGAATATTGTGACAGGAGAAAGAACTATAGAGTTATAAACTATGTTACAACGGATCTACTCTTCCTGAAGTCCATCATGTCAATAATGAAATGAATGTGAGTTTCCCAATTCCAGCTGGGCTTTGTTCCCCTTGTGCATGAGTTGGATCATGGAAGAACACGTCAAGGAAATAACTATTTAGTTCCATACGCGAGGACGGAGCGATGCTTTTAAGAGGTTTGATCTTACAGATATTTTCCAGAACCTACTTGAACCCAACATGCACCAAGACGTGTCGAAGCTTCAGAATGGATTAGACGCTTATGTACTGACGTATTTTCAGACTGTATTCAATGCATAGAACAAAAAACACATTCAAAACTATTGAATTCGAGGCGAAGGAACTGCAAACTCATTTTTAGCTTTTAGTTGGTTTCAGAAATGTTCGTTTTTTAAATGTATTTAACGCTGCAGAAACGGGGTGTGTGAATCTGTGAAGTAGCTGCATGCATCCCGTGTTGTGCTACAATACATCATTACCTACCAGCTAACATATACACCCGTGCCCATTTATCTGCACTACGCTGAAAGACCCTCTAATTGCTCTAATTGAAACACACACCTGAGACCCTTCCACATCTGAATGCAATCAATTGATTTGCCACTGAAACGCTGGTTGCACAAGGCCTGTGCGTCCAGGTGACCGCGCGCGCCGACAAACACAAGCAGGTGTCGACCAGTAACTCTCCTCGGGGGGAGCAGCAAACCCCCGAACACACCTGAGGAAGCCAGCGGGACGAATGCCTGCTGTTCAGTACCTTCTTTCAATCAGTGTGTGTGTGTGTGTGTGTGTGTGTGTGTGTGTGTGTGTGTGTGTGTGTGTGTGTGTGTGTGTGTGTGTGTGTACTGTAGGTCAAACAGATCAATGCGGGTCTGAGTACAATATTTAGCAGAGGATTTGACAACAGACCCTCTTTTGTGTGTGTGTGTGTGTGTGTGTGTCTATGTGAGAGTGTGTGCGTCTACATGTGTGTGTGTGCATGTGAGTGTGTGTGTGTATGAGAAAGAGTGTGCGCACCAATTAGCTAAATTAAAGTGTTGGGACATAATTTAATGACAACAGGAGACTGAGAGCGGGGGTCCGGGGGGTCGATTCAGCAGCACTCAGATCTGTTTGTTCAATGAGCTCATATATAAATCATCCATCAGGGGAAGAGATATTTTATTACACCACAATATCTGATGATTACTTCTAATATGTGGATGTGTGCGTGCTGACAACCTGCATTGTGTCCAATGAAATGGACATTTAGCCCATTTCCTTCCTGAATAAACACAAATAAACCACATACGGTTTATCTGGAAGGATTATGGTCCTGCTTTTAATGTCTCTTTTATTCTGGCTGTTGTGTTATCCGATTGTGCTTTTTGTGCTTTGAGGTTTAATGTTCTTGCTCTGCGAGGTGACCTCCCTTTTAAGATTAAAAACATGTCTCTCCCAGAACCGCAGCCTGAACCCGATGAGTCCAGACATTCCCAGAGAAGCTGAGGGGAAAACAACAGCACAGTAATATTAAAACATGTCTCCAACCGGACGACTGTAATTTAATATATATGTATTAATACCCTAAACCAAACCTCATCATCCCGAGAACAAATGAAAGCCTGAAAGAAACATGCTCAAAGTACCAGCCGAGCAAATGAGCACTAAAAGCCCAGGAAAGTCCAACGGGCTCTGATTCACAGGGAAAAGGCAGCAAGGGAGTAGAATGCAGGGAAACCTGTTCATATTGGACTGCCGAACCCGTGATAACGGCAGGAATCAGGTGAAAGCCAGTACCGCCCCACGGCGCGCAGACCAGACCCGCACAGACCGCCTGAGCCCGACCGGCCCAAAGACTCAACTGGTGCGGAAGGTTGAACGGCAGCAGAATCCGGTGAGATCACCTCGACCTGCCCGTGATCAGAGCCGCTGGGAGCTGCAGAAGCCCCGCGAACCCCCTCTAGCCCCGGTCCGACCAGGGGACCCCCCCCCCCCCCGTCCGCACGCAGAAATGTGTCCGTCCTCCACTCACCGTGCGCCGCGCGCAGCGCCGCCAGCAGCCAGCAGAGCCGCAACAGGTCCCATCCGCCCGTCCGCGCTCTGCGCCGGGGCCCCGCAATACATCCGGCCGAACCGGGCCCCATGCTGCGCCGATCCGGTCCCGCTGACCCCGACAATCCGGCTCTGCGTTGGGTCCTTTGGCTGTTTTTAATCCCCCACAGAATCCAAGTGTCAATTAGAAAATGTAAAGCGGACGCGAACCCGGACCGGTGAATCGGGGGGGAGGATGCTGATGCTGATGCTGATGCTGAGGAGAGAGAGAGACAGACGGGTAACACCACCTCTCCTCCCCCAAAAATAACGCTCCCCGATCGGCTTCGATCTCAAACTGAAGAGAAGAATGAGGAGAATTGTCCAAAGAGACGCGCGCGCGGTTACTTCCGGTGTTTTCGGGGTGAGAAATAAGTTCCAGCAACTATGAGGGCAGAGTCTCCATCACTCGGCCGGGTGCGAGGCGTGGGAGGGAGGGAGGGAGACGGGGTGATCCGCGCTGCCTGCCCGGAGGTCTGCTCCGTCTGCCGGGGAGGACGGATGGTGAGGGTCGGTAGAGGGGAGAGCCAAACGCCCCCCTCTCTCTCTCCCTCTCTCTCTCTCTCTCCCCCTCTCTCTCTCCCTCTCTCTCTCTCTTCTCTCTCTCCCCCGTACAGCTGTAGAGAGAGGGAGGGGGGAGGTAGAGAGACCTAGGCAGAGTGCACAGCTATCGATCTAAAGCGGCTGGAGGCAAAGCCCGGAGTTGGAGCAGGTGGGGGTGGGCGGGTGGAGTTGGAGCAGGTGGGGGTGGGCGGGTGGAGGGCGGAGTTGGAGCAGGTGGGGGTGGGCGGGTGCAGGAGGTACATTGGCTGAACTCTCCTGCCCTCTCTGGTCGCAGCGGGTACTCGAACGCTTCAATTACACCTGAGAGCATCGATTCAGCTTCATTGACGCTGTGATGAAAACTAACATGTGCAGCCGTATGACCTCTAATCCTAATCATCCATTTACTATCTGGAAGGTTGGACGACGAATGTCAACATTTTAACTCGTTTCAATGGTCTATGAGGTTGAGATTAACATTCTCCTAACTTTTGAAATCTGATAGAAGTGTCATCAGTTTTATTAGAGGCTCAACGTATCGAATGACGATGCAAACCTGGGGAATTAAGGAAGTAAAGCAGCACGGAAATAGATATGAGACGGGGGGGTCAGAAACCCTTTGGGTGATAAAGTCAATTCATGCAGAATTTAAGAATTAAATGTGATTGGTGGAATATAAATAAATCCATTATATTTGCCCATAAATAGACAGACACACAAACCTCAGGTGTGAACATTGTGTGTGTTTGGTTTTGGGCCGTCAGCTGATAATAAACTTCTCTCTCACACACACACACACACACACACACACACACACCACACACACACACACACGTTTAATTCAGACGGTGAACAGTCAGACGCTGCAGCCCTGTTGCTGTGTGTGGATGCACGGACGTGTATCCGTGCGTGTGTGTGTGTGTGTGTGTTGTGTGAGGTTCTGTCTAACAAAGCCTTCGTTATTTCTCATTGGAAACCCTCCAATAGGAGCCAATTAGAATACAATGCAGCTGATAGCACGTACTTTATGGGACTGCGACCTCCCTCCTCCTCCTCCTCGGGTAGCTGTGATGGAGGTTGGCATCTCCAATGAAAAGCCTGACTGTTCATCCTGATGTATTCAGGATCCCTCTCAGCCAAGAAGGCAAGTGAAAGTCTAGACAGGTTAGAAATGTATGACTGTGCACGTAAAATGCTCCTTTAATTCAAAACTGGTGTGGCCGATTAACACCGACCACACCCGCCCGCAGAAAAGACCGAGTTGCTTCTACCGATGGATGTACTGTAAAAACAGCCCCTGTTGAAGATGTTGGCAATATCTCCATTTGATGGAATGTAATATTTCTTGCCTTTTGCCTTCTGCTTTTGTTTTTGAATGTTTTTGTCTTCTGTGTGTTGGTTTTCATGGCAAAGATCAGCAGCTCAGATCGACCGACACAGCAGAGGGAGACAATGAGAATGTGTGTGCGTTCCGCTGTGTGCATGTGTGTTCATCTACTGTAAGAACGGATATTAACACCAGACGGGAAATTAAAAGGCAGGTTTATGAAGACTGTGTCTCTGTGTGCGACCAGTGTGTTCAGGGGAGGGTCTGTGCAGGCAGCCAGATATGAACACACACGCGCACACACACACACACACACACACACACGGTTTTAGATTGGTAGTCAGCATTGCAGCTGGGCCTCGTTGGACTGGACCCAAAGAGACAAACACCGAAAAGGTCCACAGGCTCCTGGGCTTCTTTTTCTTTCATTCAGCTTCACGCTAAATGTTCATCTCACTAAAATGTTAGAATTCATTTTCATGACCCAAAAAATGACCTAGAGAGAGTTAAGGTTGAAGCGACATGACATCATATGTCCGAACTGTGGATCCCGATGTCCCCCCGAAAGACTTTAAAACCCTCAGGGACCTAATTGACACAGAGGGTAAATTGTCATGTCGGGGAACTACAGTATATCACCACGAAAACGTTATATTATGTGGGATTTACTTTCTACTCCTTGATTTGAATGTCTATCTTTGCCCACAAGATGAAACATGTTTCTAATAAGTAACTTGTTTTGGTCCTAACAGTTTATTACTTAATAATTAACAGCTAATAATTAAATGAAATATACGATGAATAAATCTGTGTAATAGAGTTTCTGCTTGAATTCCTCTGATTTCATGTGTCTTTATGTTCCATTTACTTCCAACGCCAAACGCTCTCTCCATCTTGATTTAACTGACTGCAGCTAGCGGTCAACAAACCAACGTTAACAACATTAAAAATATTTTGTTGCACTAATCTAGGCAACATTAATCGCAGCCCTAATTTATATATATATATATATATATATATATATATATATATATATATATATATATATATATATATATATATATATAAATACGTACACAAGCTGAGTACGGGTGCGTTTTGCCTAACAAACGGTCCATAAAAAAGAAGGAAACATAAATTTGACATGCTTTTTTGTTCTTAATCTTTCTGTACATTTGAAATGCCAGAGGTCGCGACCTCAGCTCCCCGAGTCTGTTTTCCTGTTTGTCTTCGCGGGAGAACCAGGATCACCAGCGCCTGCTGCCACCTGATCAACACATCCGGTCCTGATCCTGAGGCCTGACATCCAGTCGCTGCCGGATCGGTGGCCATATTCGTATGTGTGCTCGTATGTGTCAGACTCAACAGCGAATCACTCTCTGTTCACTCTTCGTAGTGGTTTTGTGTCTATCTGATCATTTAGCCTGGATTCCCGTCACGCCCGCCTGGCAACCTGAACCTTCCCTCACATCACGACATCACCGGAATTCACCTGTCTGTACGTTGGAAATACCACTCCCCCTTGTCCAATAAGTACTCACCTTGTCACCAGCTACATTACATTACATGTCATTTAGCTGACGCTTTTATCCAAAGCGACGTACAATAAGTGCATTTCAACCATAAGGTACAAACTCAGGAGAACAAGAAACAAGAAAGTATAATTTCTTCAAATAAGCCAATTTACAATTTGCTATAGATGAGTGACGTTACAAGTACAATTTAAGTGCTACAAGGTACAATCTACCTGGCATAGTCTGCGTTTGGCTTCCAGCTGAAGACGCTGTGACACTAGACTGAAAACACTTACTTTGCTGTCATCGCTGAGTTGTTTTAAGGAGACGTGTTCATAGATATACACCTAGCCTGACAGGAACAGTCAGGTTTTTATATTTGGCAGGATTTATTGCAGGAAAATACGTTAATTTGATCAAACTGAAATAGAGTGCATAAGGGTGTGTTTTTATAGTGTAGACTTTACGTTGACTACGCAGGCAGGTTCATCATCCAAGCTCTTTGTCACCGGGAGAGACAAAAAGCAGACACAACCACAGAGCATGATTCTTTTCTCCTCACAGGAGTTCAGTCACACACCTGCAACACAAAAAAATCAAACCCATTTCAGTCAAAATGTATTACATTAAAAATATACCTGCAGGGCTCCAACCCTGCATTTTGTCAACTGTAGTTGCCGTGGCGATTTTGGTGTTGTGTGTGCAAGGACATCCCTCAGTGGCTGTTCATTTCTGCATGTTTTTCATCATGTCCTGAGTTGAAATCCATGTGGTTGGAATGTCTAGTGCAAGCAACTCAGTTTTTATCTACATTCAATTTGTTGCTGTTCTAATTCTGCAGCGCTTGCTGGAGTGTGTTTGAAGTGGCCCACAACTTTTCTGCATTGGGTCAGGACATTGTCAAATGCACTGTTCTGCAGAGATACTGTGACGGAGCGCTGAAGAGTGTGAGTGACGCAGGGGATGTGTTCAAACGGCAGATGTCATCATATTTCATATCATATTTCTCGTACTGTGTGTAAAGTGTGCAGACTTTATTGGAAACGGTCCACTGCTGTACAATATGAATAGTATGTTCTGCACACGTTTAGGCAAAATGTCCCGTTTTCAAGACACTCAAAGCTGAATGCAGCACCGACAGTTCATCAAAATAATGAACTGTAACTTCAAGATAACTGTGGGTACCCACCAATGTCCAGTAGTCTCCAGTGAGAGCAACAGTTTTAACGCCTTCGCTCCTGTCGTCCGCTCCGTTCAAAGCCACTATTCTCCTACCGGCGTGGCGTCTTGAGGAAGGCCGCTCTAAGGACGGTACATCAGGCTCGTAGTACTCCGGTGATGAGACAATTCTCGGTTAACATGTGCAGCAGCGTTAAGCCCCTCGCAATGCAAAAAACAAAATGCTGTTAACGCATTTTAAAAGTTAATAGATTTAGGGCTGCAACAATAAATCGAAGAAATCGATAAAATTCGATTATTAAAAGCGTTGTCAACGAATTTCATTATCGATTTGTTGTGTCGCGCAATTATTACGTCACTCAATGAGTCGCGGAGCTAAAAATAAAAAATAAAAGCGCCGAGCCGACGTAGAGGAGTCGTCCAAGGTGGGCGAGCATTGGGGGGCGGTGAAGAGGAACCAAAGTCCGATTTTTCTTTTTTTGTGTGCGAGAAATTGGATGTGTGGCGGAGTGCGTCACTAAAGACCGAAATGGGTGACTGTCACGCTCGATGTGTGACACGTGACAGCACTGAACGTGTGTCAATGGCTAAATATGCAAAGTCGACGTAACCTGGCCCGGGAGCTCCACGTTGTCCCGCTTTGACGTGAGGAACGTAAGGAGCCTCACGTTCGTCATCCAGATGATCAAGCTAGCGTTAGCTCGCTAATGACCGCGGTAAAGCAGTTAGCAAGACTAAGACACGT